GATATTGCGCATGCGCTAACACACTAACGTAGCCAGATTATGCACTGGCTTGTATATGCAGAGGGTAACTTACATGCAAGGTCTTTGTCCTATTTCTTAACTGATATCTACTGACAAAATTTTATCATGTAAATCTATGCTAGAATACCTCTTCTCTATTTTAAATGCATTAATTTCGCAAAATATTAATATTCTCGGAAGATATTGCGCATGCGGGAGCACCGTTTTAAGCGTGCAGTACAGACTGAAAGCAACCGCATAATATAGTTTGCTGCAAGAGGGAATGAGTGTTGGGAGACTGAGTAAAGACAGCAGGGAAGATAACTGGGGCGGGAGAAAAAGGAGGCTGGCGAAAGACAATGGAGGCAAGGGGACGGGTGGGAACGGACGAAGTAGGGATTTTGAACCCTACAGGCTGGGGTGCGCTCCAAATTATAAACACAAGTCTACTGATAATAATTAATTACAGAAATCTATGCTGAGATACCCCATAACTATATTAAATGCACAAACATCACAAAATATGATTCCTCTGGTGAGATATTGCGCATGCGCTAACACACAAACGTAGCCAGATTGTGTAGTGCATGACCTGTATATTTGTCGGGGATCTTATATGCAAGATCTTCGTGCTATATCTTAACCAAGGTGTGCTGATAAAATATTACCATATAAATCGATGCTAGAATTCCTCCTCTCTATTTTAAATGCATAATTTCCACAAAATATTATTCCTCTCGGGAGATATTGCGCATGCGCGTGCACTGTATGAAGCGTGTAGTACGGACTGAAGGAAACTACACAATATAGCTTGCTGAGGGAGAGAGAAAAAGAGAGAGAGAGAGAGAGAGAGAGAGAGAGAGAGAGAGAGAGGTGAGAAACTGACGAAAGGCAGCAGGGAAGATAGTTGAGAGTGGTAGAAAAAGAAGGAGGCTGAGCGAAGGCCAGCGGGGGAAAGGGAAAGGGCAAAATTGGATAAATTATGAGTTTTGCACTCTGCAGGCTTGGGCGCGCTCCTAATTATGAACACAGTTCTACTGATAATAATTAATTACAGAAATTTTTGCTGAGATACCCCATGACCATATTATTATGCATAGTCATCACAAAATATAACTCTTCTATTGAGATATTACGGATGTGCTAAAACACTAACGAAGCCAGATTATGCATTGGCTTGTATATGCAGAGGGTAACTTACATGCAAGGTCTTTGTCCTATTTCTTAACTGGGGTCTACTGATGAAATGTTATCATAGATGTCTATGCTAGAATACCTCCTTTCTATTTTAAATGCATAATTTTCGCAAAAGATTCGTATTCTCGGGAGATATTACGCATGCACGAGCATTGTTTCAGGCGTACAGTAAGGACTGAAGGCAACGGTATAATATAGCTTGCTGAGAAAGGAAGTGAGTAATGGGAGAATGGGGAAAGGCAGCAGGGAAGATAGCTGGGCGGGAGAAAAAGAAGGAGGCTAAGCAAAAGACAATGGAGGCAAGGGGACGGGCGGGAGCGGACGAAGTAGGGATTTTGCCCCCTGCAGGCTAGGGCGCTTTGCTATTTATGAACACAGGTCTACTGACAACAATTAATTACAGAAATCGATGCTGAGATACCCCATAATCATATTAAATTCGTAATCATCACAAAATATCACGCTTCTAGTGAGATATTGCGCATGCGCTAACACACTACCTTAGCCAGATTATGAACTGGCTTGTATCAGGCGCAGCGCGGTCGTTACATGAAGGTCGTCGGCTATCTCTTAACGAGGTCTGACTGATGAAATTTTATCATAGTATAGTGCTAGAATACTCTCTCTATTGTTAATGCCATACAATTTTCGCAAAAGAATAATATTCTCGGGAGATATTGCGCATGCGCGGGCACCGTTTCAGGCGTGCAGTACGGACTGAAGGCAACTGCATATTATTGCTTGCTGAGAGAGGGAGTGAGTGAGCCTATATATATATATATCCTATGATCAGCACTGGACATAATCTCTGGTCGACGATTTTACCGCCCGCACCTTTTTCCGACGTCGCCTCTGCGACGGGCTGAGATGCTAGAACTTAGCATAGCGGGAGCTGGCTCTGCCTAGCATACCACAGGAACACATTAAATTCTCTCAAAATCTTTTAGGCTACTTTAGAATGAACTGTGTACAAAAATGTTAAACTATTACACAAAATTCAATTAGCCGAAGCACGTATAATCAGATCCAGGATTTGAAGAGGGTGGACTGCAAGCAAAGAGATTATGAAGCCCTGGGGGCCCGGGGAATCTGCCCCAAAATCTTTTTAATGGGACGTCGTATAGATGCAATTTCCAATGTATCTGACAGCAATTGGTTCTAAAAAAGCTATATTTCATTCAAAGCTTTCCTTGCCAAAAAATAGGGAATGCCATCTTGTATCTTGTATCTTGGGGTTCCTCTCTTGTATTTCACAAGGCACAGATTCTCTTGGAATGTGCGGGGAAATCCTGTAGATAAGGAAATTCTGTCTACAAGTTAGCATTAATTAATTTACTTTTGGTTCCCAGTACTGGGGCTGGGTACCCATCCCCTGGGTACCCAGCCATGCTGGTTGCGCCCCCTTAAATTCGCTCACGCACACACAACACACACACGCACGCACGCACAGTGACGGACACATGCAGTTTCTTATTAATGTTTTGGCTGCAATATTATACTAAAACGCAAATAAACTGAATTGAACTGATCCATAGAAGTAAAATGATTTTTTCCGATAGATGGCGACATGGGGTCATAATCGGGCCAACGCGTACGCAGTGTGCACTACTGATCTTTTCCCCTCCATCTGCCCTCCCCTCCTCCTACCCCATCTCTCTCTCTCTCTAAATACATCTCTCTCTATATATATATTATATATAATAATAATATAATAATAATATATTGCGTTGCGGCTCTAGGTGCGGTGTCATGCACTCCATGTTATCATGGCACGCTCTCATCCAATTATACTGCTGCCTTTCAATGACGTTTTAAATATGTCTGCGCCCAACAGTTTACTTGCCAGAACTGAGTAACCTAGTCATATAATGCATTAATGGCATTAATGTAAAGGTATTTTTCAAAGTTTAAGAAACTATGAGTACAACGAAGGAGAAAAGGTCAGCGTTGATAAAATTGAGGGATTGAAAGATAAACAGCGGATTGCAGTAAGAAAAACGTTTGGACCTCGCAAATAATAACACTGATTAATAACACTGATTAACAGTGTTAGCAATAGCCAATACTAGCACGCTATATATTTTAGCTCGAGTAGTAGTAGTAGTAGTAGTGCTCATAGTCATAGCCATAGGGTCTATGTCCCCCACGGTACTGCCGGAACGTACCCTGGGTACGGTCCGGTATACCGCAACGTACCCTGGTAACTATCTGATAATATGGTTAGGGTTAGAGTTCGGGTTAGGGTTATGGAGTAGGCGTAGGCGACTCCCTAGACTCGTTAGTGGAGTAGGCGAGGTACGGGCCGGCATATTAGATAGTACTAGGGTACGTTCCGGTATACCGGAACGTACCCTAGTACTATC